TTTAAACATTTGCATACCATACATACATGATTCAGGTAATGCCATTATACACACTTTTTTAAAGTGCCTGTGAAACGCTTGCTACCCCGATGATGTCCACAATCATTTATTGGTATGTGAATATTATCATAATTTATTTATCTGAGATAAAAAAAGTTGAGTTCAAAGATGCTGTCTACTATCAAGTATTTATTACATTTGATCTCCTTAGTCCTCATTTGCATAAAAGTACTCCTTGGTGACGGTAGTGGGAATGTGACGCGGTTCTGGAGAACGCTTCAGGTTCCAATTTTTTGAATATTAATATAAAATAAACTTCCACTAAATGTTTTTAAAACATATTGGACGACAAATATAAACGATGTATTATTAATACATTAATTGACCCATTGTGTATTAATTTCGCGAACTGTCATCGTGGCTTACAATGGTATATTTTGAGTTTGCTCTCTGTATTTTTATTCTAACTTTAATTGTATGTTTGTCTTTATTCACGTATTGCATTTTAGTCAAAATCCTATTAGGGATATGAACGCAATGAAGATAATTATTATTATAAATCAATATGGCAAAAGAGGCGCGACAATGTCATATAAATCATTATCGGATAATTATCGTCTAATAAAATCTAATGAAATTCTGGCAGAGATGTCTAACTTAGACATTTTTAGATAATATCGGAGAAAACGAACTGTCCCAATCGTTACCCAGACAGACCTGTCTAACTTAGACATTATTAGACATTGTTAGACGATATTATCGATGATACCGGAGAAAAACGAACTGTCCCAATAGTTGCCCAGACAGACCTGTCTAACTTAGACATTGTTAGACGATATTATCGATAATATCGGAAAAAAAGAACTGTCCCAATAGTTGCCCAGACAGACCTGTCTAACTTAGACATTTTTAGACATTGTTAGATGATATTATCGATAATATCGGAGAAAAACGAACTGTCCCAATAGTTTCCCAGACAGACCTGTCTAACTTAGACATTTTTAGACAATAATATCGGATAACTTTAAAAAGTGCAATGTCGCGCCTTTCTCAGAAAATGCGTAAGATTGAGCCATTTGGAGACGTGAAAAGTACTGTAGTTTGCCTGATCACATGTTGTTTTACGACTTAAATGTTATGTAACATTCTGTTATCCTGCAATTTCTGTCAATACAAATATTGATCTGTAATAGTATATATAGTTGCTTGGTTTTAACGATTAAATCAGTTGCTGGTTTGTGTTCTAACTAGGCACACCTAGAGGCTCTAATCAGTAGCTTAATCGGACATTCTCAATGGTGTGATACAAGAACCCACGTGTTTCATTGGTTAATCCCTTGTCAATGACCCTGTATAATATTCGATCACAAATTTCATCCTAAAATTAGATTTCTAATTTGATGCAGCGAAACCCACGGTAGACGGAAATTCAGAGCGACTCGTTTGTGATGTTACTTGGCCATACACTGACCATATTTTCGAGATCAGTTTTCAAGTTCAACCGCCAACGTCACTTAGTAAGCGGCGATTGTGAATTAATGATTGCGTATGCCACAAGAAGACCAATTGTTCGATAATTGTTCGATTTCGCATCCGGGAAATTAAATAAAATATAATGACAGACAGTTACTCCATATTTAATTGATCTTCAAATATTCTATTAATGCTCAAACAAAAAAATCACGATTTTCATTAGCATAGTTGCATGGCTTCGGCGCTTTTTTTCAGGCTGATGTCTGATGACACAGTTTCACTTCGGTAGAAGTCGGAAAGCCGGATACAGACGACTATGACAGGAATGGGACATAGCTGCAACTCGGAATCATTCTTTTTTAAATTTTACTCGAAGATGATTTATTTTGTTGTTGTTTACAAATATCCATTCATGGGGGAAAGAAACCAAAACATAAGTGTGTTCAGTTGGTGGGTATTTCACAGGCAATTTAAATATCTCCACAGTTGATGCATTATATCTTGCATGCCTATGACTCAATGCACGTTTTTTTAAAATTTTATACAGCTTATTGTTGGTATTGTTGGTGTTGGTAACCAGTAAACACGGTTGGCCAAACCCACGATAAAAATAGATAAGACCTAGCACTTCGTACACACCTTAAACTCTTTGCATACCAAAATAGAAATCGACACCTATGTTGTCGAGAAAGCTGCTAAGTCGGCGAGAAACTTGCTTACATATCGCGGAAGTTGCTAAGTCGATGAGAAACTTGCTTACATATCGCAGAAGTTGCTACATCGGCGAGAAACTTGCTTAGATATCGCGGAAGCTGCTACATCGGTGAGAAACTTGCTTACATATCGCGGAAGTCTCTACATTGGTGAGAAACTTGCTTACATATCGCAGAAGTTGCTACATCGGCGAGAAACTTGCTTTAGATATCGCTAAAGGTGCTAAGTCGGTGAGAAATTTACATCTGCATAAATAGAATGCTGTCCTGCATTACTCTGATATTTGACTGAAACGTGTCGAGTAGAAATATTTTAGATGAACAAATATTAAATAGGTATTATAGGTTTAGTGTTAAGAACACTGATACAAATGACACTAGCCAAAAAAAAACGTCTGTAAATGTCAATAATTCCGAGATTTGTAAAAAAGGGCGGGGCGCGATCGGCATCTAGTCTACATAACTATGATATCATGTGCGTCACCTGCGCATGCGTCAGATGGCCGTAGCGTGTTGTTTCCAAACAAGCATCTAACCATGAGCCTTTGCGTTTTTAGCGTGTATGATTATTGTCGCTTGGGACTCAATTCCAATAAATTGTACTCCAAGGCAATATGAGAATATTGACCTAAAACAGTTGGGGGTCACCAGCCTTTTTTTCAAGAAATTGATGGTTGTATTGTATTAAAAATGTCACCATTTTGACACTATTATAACACTTTTACCACAGGTTTCTATAGCATAGATATTATGCAATATCTCCAAATCTAGCCTGGTGACATAGGCAGAACAAATCATATATTGTTAATGATGGAGTTCTTTTTGTTGTTCTGAATTATTTAAAAAACTGGGTTTTAAAACGTCTAAAAAAATGCAATTTTTCTTTTTATCATTTTTGCTCTATGGAATTGTTCTAAAAATAACAATTTTCAAGAAATATTAGGACACATTTTTCAATCAAAGAAAGCTTAGAAAGAACTCCCGTGTGCTGAGAGTTTTGGAGACACATTAAAAATTAATTCAAAATTACTTATACTTGAGTTATTGATGGAATAGCTGAAAACTAATTATGCAAATAAGGTAACTAATATGAACAGATTTAGGTGTAAAACTAATAAGGTCTGTACAATGTACCAAGTTTCATTGGAATGTGATTAGAACCAAAAAAATATTAATTATTATGCTAATTAGAGAATTAATATGAACAGATTTTAACCCAAAATTAATCAGGCTGTCTATTGTCCTAGAGCATTTATATACCAAGTTTTATTCAAATGTGATGATCCATACTTAGATTTTAGTATTAATTAATTATGTTAATTAGTGATTAAGAAGCATAAATATTTACCAAAAACTAATATGGTGCATAGTCTTAGTTCATTGAAATGTGATGGGTACTATTTAAAGTTTCATTGAAATCCAATGAGTGGTTTT